GTGTGTGTGTGTGTGTGTGTGTGTGTGTGTATAGTGTACAATACTCTCTTTACATTATGACAAGATTAATATATTAAAGTAAAGCATCTGAGAACCAGTAAATATAGTAAGACATTGATTTTAAAACTTTCCAAAAAAGAATCCCCATTTATTTTTCCTGAGAAAAATAAATGGGGATACAATAAAAGTAAAATTAACGCAGGAAAAAATGTTAAGGACAGAAGCTTTACTGCACTATTCTTATTAAAGGAACATTTTTCTACAAATCTGGATGATAACTTCCTCATACTTCTTTGCTTCCTTATAGTATCCATCCATCCATGCATCTCCTGCCACATTACAAGTTAAGTTTTTCTCTCAAATCTAAACAAGAAAGCCCAGTTAATCCAGCAGTGATAAACCAAAATAAACTGGACCTATCCCAGCCACGTAGTCAAAACTCCAAAACAACAGTCCAATATGAAGACACCAAAACAAACATCTCACCCTGGACGCTATAATTTCCCCTCCTATCCTACAGCAGGACTGTAATTTTCTCCTCCAGTTTAAAACAACTTAAAGCGCCTGAATGCAGATCAGAGAGCTCACTGGGTTACATAATGAGGAGAGAATAAGAGTCTTAACCTTTAACTCCTGCTTTCATTCCGACTGACCACCGGTTAGGAGAGAATAACTCAATAACTGCAGCTGTAGGTTGATACACTGTGATACAGAAAGCCTTCATGCATTAAGAGGTGCGGGCAGTTTATATATCGGTAATGTTCGTCGCTGTAAAGCCGGTAAAGTGCAGCTCTGACAGCAGCACATTCAGCTCCATCTCGGTACCGAGCCGACATGTTTTCAGCGGCGCTATCCAAACACCAAACTGCTCTCAAAGTTCGGATAAACCCAGATTTTAAGCTCGGATATTTACCGTTTCTCTCTGAATGAGACGTCGCTCGGCCGGTGGCTCTCCGTCCATCGGTTCTGCCACTAGAATGGTACGGTCTCACGAGCGTACTGCGTCACTTCCGGACCCTGTCACCTGTAAACCGCTTGACGGAGATCGTTTATTCTCGAGAGGAACGACTCACTCTCAAAAAGATAAATTAGGTTATTGTGGTATCTTGCTAACTTATTAATACCCCTTTACGTTTATCATTCAGGTATCATCCGTAAAGTCCAATCCTTTTTTTTTTAATTAAAATATTAAGTAATTAACAAACAGAAAGAAGTACACAATTCAGATGTAGGAGGAAAAGAAGTTAGGGTTTAAAAAAATAGTTGAACTGATTTGTTTTGATAATTTTTTTTTCCAATGTGGCTCTATATGTTTAGGGCTGTAGTTTTTCTAGAGGATGAACTTCCTTTCCAGTTCCTGGCATTGCATGTTCTATGTTTAAACCCGCTGTCTTCCCATCAGCTAAAGCTTCCTTGTTCCTTTTGAATAAAAACAACTCCACAGCATTACACTGTCGCTACTATATGCTCACAGAGACACAAAGGTTTAGTTTTTATACACACCTAACATTCTTGAGTGGGAAAAAAATATATTTTTCTTTGATCAGACACCTTCTTTTACGTATATTCAGTGCTCCAATATGACTTGTTATAAAGTGCAAACTGAAAATTTGCAGCTTTCTATAAACAACCATTTGAGTGGGAATTTTTGTACATTATATTCTCCCAATTTGATTTATTTATTTATTTAGCTGATTTATTTATCTCCATTGTGATAGTCTGAATGTAATTTCAAAGCCCTCGAAGCAACATTGTGGATGCTTCGTCATATTGCTTTGATTAGTTAGTGTTCAGTGTCATTTTGAATGTAGAAAAAAGTTTGTAAAATATACTTTTTAATAAATGTTATACATTCCTCCATAGATTGATTATTAACCAGGTTGATCCAATTTCCCAGCCCTAACCACCAGAGGTTTCAAGTAAAAAAGTACAAATACTTTGTTATCTTACTTAAGTAGAAATTTTATCACAACTTTTTGCTTCTACATTTTAAAAATAGACTAATTAGTTTTGTTTCATTTTAGCTCATTTTTATTAAAGCTACAGTGTGTAATTTTTAGCGACATCTAACGTCCA